AATAAAAATGGTGATTGGTGTTTGTTAAATCAACGAGCACAAAATGTTTCAGTTCAACAATTAAATACAAATATTTGTTCATTATCATTTTTTGATCGTTTATTTAACGGAAATATTGTAAGAGAGAATGGACAAATACGAAAATGTGTTGATGAATATCAAAATGAATTTATTATTTCAGATGAATTAAGAAAAGTAAATAAATTGTTCGTATATATTCATATTTTCCATATTGATTATTTGTATTCTCACTATTTAAGGTTTTACTCATGGAAGAATTTGAGACTTATGACATATTTTCAGATGAAGAACGAAAAGAATTTATATTCTGGTATTGGGATTTTATCTGTTATAAATTAAAAAATAACGTATCATCTTTTTTTTCATAGTCTATTCAAGCATTTTTGTCTTGGTGGTCAGGTGTGTCAATATGAGGATGATATTAAACCATACTTAGAATCAACAAAATCTGTTTATAAAGAACTTGTCAGGTAAATAAATAATATAATAGATGTACATTTTCTTATTGAAAAATATCTTCCTCATACTACCCTTCCGTTTCAGATGGGGTTGTTGAAAGTTAAATTTATTGTTTCTTACCTTGTTTTTCATTGTTTTTTTTTAGTGTTCAGAAGGATCCAGAAACAAAGGTTATTCAAGTTGTTTCACCTGTATTCAAAGTAGAAGCATTGGTAGGTAAATTTATATTTTTTCTTTCTCTCTTGCTACACTATTTTCTTGATTAGAATGAAAATGGAAAGAAATTTTATCCATCTCGTACGGTTTATGAACAGGATTTTGCCTATATGATTATTGATCCATACAAACGACACGTTATTGTATTATCAAACTTTTATGAAGGACCATCATTTTTTGAATAAATGAATGATATTAATGTTAATAAACGTCCAGTTGAATAATCCGTCCATTTGTTTTTAGTTTCTAGCACTATTTTTTGTTTATCACTTTCACATTTATCTAATGTACCGTTTGAAATTGTTTATAAAATAAAATGAATAATATTTAAATGCCGAATTTTTTATATATTATGGCTCATAATCAAGCACACATCAACTATATGAAATAATTCATTACAATGTAGATTTGACTAGACTGTGATAGTTTATTTAACTTATCTCTGCTTGTAAAGAAACGTTCTTATTTCATTTAAAAATTGATTCGACCGCGATTTAAATATGTCATGAAATGCGAGTAAAAATATTTTATCAATTAAACAAATTTTTAATTATTTAAATATTTAATAAACAATGTCTATACATCTATTGCATTCGTTATTTGCTTGTTAATTATTGTATTATAATTCACTGAATGTCGGACTGAATATACACCGTGGAGAGGAGACGGATATTCGTCAAACATATTCCATTTAACCAGTCTAATTGAAAACACACCGATTATTTATAAACTAATGGTTTAACCGACTTTTCTATTTTATTTTTATATATCATCCAGTCAGTCACCTATATGTTTTGAAAATTCGTTTTAACGCGGCTTTAGCATCCATAGAGCGCGAGAATATACAGTTTCACCATGAATACGGCAAATTTCTTGAGCTTTAAATATACACCTCAATCAAAACCGCGTTTTTGCCATCAATTATTCGCGAGAAACGCGTTTATGCTCATTATAACTTTTTAAAAACGTGTTTTCAGTCGCAACAGACTTTAAGACTCGCGAACGCCACCGAATTTTTCGCGTTTCTGACTCAACTGAAACGAATTTAACGCGTTTTGGCTAGAAATGAAATTTGAAAAACGCGTTTTACTTTTTAAAAATTTATAAGATAGTTTCTTTGACACGTAAAATTCGTTTCGTAGATTGAAGTCGCGAAATTAGGCATTTCTATAACAAATAATGAGTGAAAAACGCGTTTTTAACGCAATGGAACGCGACAAACGCGAGATTGGCTCAAGAACCGCGAAAAAACGAATTTTCTACAAAAGGCGCGGAAGAACACTAGTTTAGCTTCAAAGTATCGCGCGACACTCTGTTTACGAGAAATTTAATGCGTTTAACGCAACCTATGATTACCTAAAAACTCGATTTTGACGCTTTTTTTTTAAACGAATTTCTCACGGCAAATTTTTCGTAAACAGAGTGTTGCGCGATATTTTGAAGCTAAAACCGCGTTAAAACGAATTTTCAAAACATATAGACGACTGACTGGGCGGGCAATCTCTACGGTAAAGTACAATGCGTTGGTCATTTTTCTTTTGATATAGCAACAGCACTTTCCTCATCGTGCTAAGTATTACTGATACAACGTGAAAGTCAACTCGGCTATAGTTTTCAAGTAAAATTTGGCTCAGTTTTTGAGTCGTTTAACCATTTCGTTAGAATAGACCACATTTTATCGTAGTCTTTTGTAAATAGAACAGGCCAATTTTCTATGAATTCTTAAATGAATTTTTCGTTTTCAAAACACCAATCAAACTATCCTAAATCAATATGATTTTTTGACAATATTGTATAATCTCGCTGAACTAACATTCATAAAAATATCCTCACTATGTTTCGTAGCAATGTTTGTTTTCACAGAAAATTTCAAAAACTTAGTGAAAATATACTTTAGATGAAATAGCCTACTTTACACTATCCTCATACAAAATCGTACAGTAAACTCACAAAAGCCACAATCGTTTCAAAAGACTTGAAAAAGTCTTGATAAGTTTTTATTATTTGATATGTTATTTAATATTTATACAAGCAGAAAAAGACATGAATGCGTAGTAGTAAAAAACCACACACAAGTACAAAAGAATTCCAAAAAGATGTTTGTACCAAGATGTATTTTAAAAAGTTACTCAAAAATATACGATTACAAAAGTAGTTTTCAGTTATATATTGTACATATTTATCCCTCCGAATCCCAATGTGTTGAATCATCTTCATTTTCCGAGTCAGATTGTGGACGAATTTTATCTCGACGAAATTTTGCCGCCATTTCCATTATGGATTGTACATCGAGACCAGATGTTTCTTTTTTCTTTTCCTCTTCTTTACGTTTACGAACTTCTGTTTTACGTAAATGAATACCTAGAATTGATAATTAACACGGATAAAAATTATGAAAAGCAAAAAGAATATTTGTTAAAAGCAAGCAGTATTGTCTATGCATGATGTGATTTGTTTGTAATTGTTTTCATCAGAAAAACGATTAGCGTTAATTTTGATTAATAGTATGAAAAACATTATTTGAGTTAAAAAAATATTTTTTACGTTACCTGAAAGTTTTAAACTAACGTTCCTACAACAATACCATGTGTGGGCCAACTTAATTAACTTATTTGAATGATATAAAAATGTTCCGCAAAAAAAAGTGACGTGAGGACAAAACTAAATCGAGAAGCATTTTGAGTGATAGTCACTTCTGTGTACAACATAATTTTCACAAATTAATGCAAAATTTAAAAGCCGAGCATTACTGTGATTGAGCAAATTTTCCGATCCAAAGCGTGCCTCCAAAGTAATCTTAAATACATATACATACCGCTGTTTAAGACGATTTTTAAGTCTCTCTCAAACCGGCATATCTTCACCTATTTGATCAAGCCAAATTAGAAATTACGATATAACCGTGTATCGATTCCTTATGGTTTCCCATATATCAACTTTCTATTTTAGGTAGTTATAAAAATTCGTCTAGTGCGCTACACTGCGGGAAGTGATCTAATAACTTGTCAACTTAAACAGTTTTTATCGATGAGTTTTGATGTCTCGAGGGGCGGGTGTATATCTCATTACTTCTAAAAAAGCAGAGTGAATAATTACCATTTTTAATTGCTTCCAATAAATCTGAATGCAAATCTCTCATAACAACTGGTCGGGGATCTTGGATGCCTACTGAACTTTCAGATGCAATTGAAATTTCATCAAACTGTGTTGTTAACGCTTGAACATTGTCAGTTGTTTTTTGTTGCTGTTGGCTGGTATTTGGATTAGGACGTCCTGATACATTCACAACCAAACCATGTAAAACGGATGGAAAGGGAGGAGCCGGTGGCACAGGTAGCGATGACCCTTGAGGAGATTTTGGTGGCATGTATTGTTCTTCCATCTAAGAAAATATAACAATAAGTTCAACAAGATATTATTTTCAAACCACTATTTCTTACCTGCAATCGTTTTTTATCAAAATTTTGAGTATCATCTTGTTGATGATGATGAATAAAATCGTCGGGTGGAGGTGGAAGATTATCGGTCTCTGATATTGCACCCAAAATAGACGTGTCTATTTGCTCAATTGGTGGTGGAGCTAAAATAATAAACATTGTGTGAATTCTTAATAAAGACATAACGATCACACTTACGAGGAGGCGGGGGTGGAGGACTACAGCTTGGGCGGCTAATCATGGATGGTCTCGAAAATGGCATAGCCGTCATTTGTTTATGAACTGGATGTTGTTGAGGGATTGCAGGTGGTGCTCGCATAACTGGTGGTTGTTGCATAGATGAATCCATTAGATAAGGTGACTGGTGTACATCAAATTGCGGCGATTGTTGACGAACTACGGCTTGTATAACAGGTGATTTTGTAGAATAATAAGAATTATTATTACTATTGCCGTTCATCATGATTACTTGTTGTTGTTGACGATCACGATAGACACCATTAAGTTTTGGACTACGTGAATCCTCATAAAATTCATTTGGATTAAATTGATTACTATGTTTCATTATTGATAACATACGATTATTTGAAGGTGAAGCAGAATAAATTGATTGTTGCTGCTGCTGATATTGTGCTTGAACTGTCGCACGTGCTATTTGTTCGAAATCCTTATTAGGTAGTACATGCAAACCTAATTCATGAGGACTATGGTACGAAGACTGCTCGTCCGGTGAACGAAGATAACTCGAGGAACTAATGTAAATTGTATCATTAAGGGAAGGCTGTTGTTGTTTGTTTATGGCTTTCTACAAAGGATTCAGGAATAAGTACACATAATAAGAAAAAAACGACATACCGGAGATCGGAAACGTTCTTGTCTTTGTGGTCGAGTATTTTGCGGAAATTGCATCATTGACTGCATCCACAAATTAAAAAAAAACGATGGATCAGTATAAAATTTCATGCAATCTCGACCATCATCTCTAAAAAATGAAATAGTGAAAAAAGTGTCGTATTCTATTTGTCGATCATTTTCGTGTATAAAATAACCTACCTAAAAGGATTAAGTAGATGTAATGCTGGAGCTGGTTCAGCTTTGTCGTATAACATTCTCAGCGATTTCGGCATTGTTGATCGGTTTACAATTTGTTGATCAATTCGTGTTACACTGACAAATGGTTTTCGATTATTCACATCTTCAATTGTGACTAAACAAAATAAAATATAATAAATTTACTAAAACGATCAAGGTAATCACAGGCAAACTACCTTCTTCAACATTCGAATCAAGTTGTGTAACTTTGATTTTAAGTCTTTCTATTCTTCCATGTAATGCTTCCGTTCGTTGAAAGATATGAATAGCATCTGTAGTTAATTCATCAAACATATCTTGTGCCAATGAACTTAATGAACTCAATTGCCGAATAATATTGGCTAATGTTAAATTTGCCACACATTCTAATTCGTTTTGAATACCTTTAGGCAATTGGACTTGACATAAATTTATCGGTTCAACCGTGCGCTTATTAAACGGCATTATGGCTGAAACATGAAAACCGAGAGCGATCATAAATAAAGTAAAAAATAACTAAATACGTTTATGGATTACCTCATTACATATTGCCTGTTATATATATATATTTATCGAGTGGTATCGACGCTAATATAAGCAAAGGCTAAATGTTTTACTTTATTATTACAGCACATCGAGGCTTTTATCTTTAATAAATCAAAACTAATGAGATACTTTCGTGGCAAGATGAGTTATTTTAGAGAAATTTTGTTTCTAAATTTCTTTCCGTTTAATCTCCTGGTATTATCGTCTCACGTTTTGTCTTCCTACTTCTCTTTACAAGACTTCTAAAAGGTCAGATCTTCCATTCGACATCATTATTACCCTTCGAAAAATCGTATAGTCAATCTGAAATTTTCACCATAGTTACCAAAGACAATATCTTAGATGCTTCTTTTGAAAACATTGTTGTTTCTTTTTCATTTACAGCTAAAGAATACTAGAAATTCAGACAGCTAAAAGTTAAAAATATTAGAGATTCAAAAAGAACAACGATTTATAAAAAAATGACTAAGTTCATATAAGTTAGGGTCTTAAGTATTGCTGGCGAGAATGTCAGCTCGATCAGATAATTTTTACGAAGGATTCTAAACAGTTCTAATGTGATTAATATCAGATTTAAATAATTGATTTCGTATTGACAGATCATTTTTATAAAATGGTTATACCTCATCAATATAATATCGTGAAGAGTTGGGACCCATCTTGTTTTGAAGGAACCTGTTTGCTCCAAGCAACTGAAAAATGTAGAAGAAACGAAAAATAGCGGAAAACTATAACTTCTGAAGTAAAACTTGAGAATCTCATGTTTTTTTAACAGAGGGTCGTAAAAAGCGTCGAATGATCTTTCGCAAAGGATACTTGGTCCTATAATACAGCATGTCTAACTTGAAATTAATGAACTTTAACAACAAAGGAGGAAGGAGTAATCTTAATTTTGTTCATAATTAAGAGCACGTGTTATAATATATTTAACACTCGCAATTAAGTTAAGTTTAATGATGATGCTTGCCCTTAAGCACATACTGAAAAACCCGTTTGACAAAGGTCACGCTCGATTGTCACCGGTGCACTGATTAATATTTCATAGATAGAGAAGGAAATGCTGCTCTTTTTCTCTGGAAAAATGAAACATTTTGTGTTTTTCGCTGGTACATATCGGATCTCGGAATGGGGATCAAAACAGCTTTGTCGCATCCGTGGTCCCGTAGGGAGCCGTGATTCATCATCTGCTGAAAGCTACCAATCCAGTCATGCATCTAGAACTCTACTACCGAGGTATCTTTAACGCTAATATTCAGCAAACAGTATGTTATTTCTATGATAAAAAGGTGGAAGAACTGTATGGAGTCCAGAAGTAACATTGTTGATAACTGAAAACAGAAAAGTTTTTTCCGTTGACTCCCTTAATTCAATTAGACTACATTAGCCAATCAAAGCGAATGATCGTACAGCTGTAAAAAATAGTAGTGAAAAAAAACCACGGTGGAAAACCATAGCACCATCATACTGAATCTAGTATCACATATCGTGATGATAATATAGTAAAAGTGCGACGACGCAACGACTGAATGAAAAACAAAGTGGTAAAACTGTGTGTGGCACCAGTTTTTCATTGAATAGACATTTGTGCCTTGAAATATGTCGTACGATAAGTACTCTTTACTTATCACTTATCGTTTTCTCAAGGACACGAAAAGAGTCAAATTTTGTTGTATCTTTTATTTACAAATTGAACTTCACTGATTTCAACATAATTCGTCCGAAATGATGTATATAATCGATGCGTTTATTCGAAAAGAAGCTTATAAATCGGAGAAATAGTATAAATTCAACCGATTTTTGCTGGGGAATGATGCGGATATTTAGCGGAAAAATGACAGTAGTAAGTAACTATTTTTGCTCTGAGATAGTGGATGATAATCTTCAGATTATAGACGATGTCTTTTCATAATAAAGTTTTTTGTTTTAGTTGTATTGTGTTGGGAAAACCAATATATCAAAACAGGATAAAAAAATCATCATACTTTCTCGAAAATCAAAAAGTTTCTCTCAGTGGAACATTATATCGACATAGATGAAATTTCGTAAGCGAATTATAAGTCTGTTGCGAAAATTTAAAAAAAAAACTCATGATGTTTGAACTTCAAATGTTGGGGATAGTCGATGTTTTTCCCGGCTAACAAATCCTTGGAAAACCAGCTCTTCAATGTAATGCGTTTCTCATGTTTTCTCAATGTTCTGTAAGGCGAAAATTTTTGATAATAATTTTTTGATAATGAATTTTTTTGCATGACTATTCACTAGACTTACGAATAACAATAATAGAGGCGAAAAAGTATTTACTCGAAAAAAAATTTCATGTTCGCATGATAAATTATAATTGCGCCCTGTACTCTCAAACGAAACGACCGAATGCAACCAGAAAAACTTTGTGTGGTGATCAAGGTAATAGAAAAAAGACGAATAGTGTACGCTAAATATCGACATGGAATCTACTTTAATTAAAAAGCCAACGAAATTCATCATGAATTCTGTGCGTGAATGTCTAACCTTAAATGAGACATGATGTTTATTTCCAAAGTTATTCAGATACTGATATATTTATAAGGAAAACAAACAATTCTTATTTGAAAGAACTTAATTTCCTTTATGACATCCTAATAAAAGAGAAAAGCCAAGACTGTGCGCAGAACAAGTAAATAAAAGAAAGGTACAGAAAACAAATAACTTAACTGTGTTTAGTCTTAGCTAAATAGCTTTACTGTACTAATAATCAAATAATCAATAGCAGAAGCAGAAAAGGATAAAGAATAAAGCATGATCCGCCAACGATTCTCATATATCTGTGACTACCATAGCAAACATTCTATGTTAAGCCGTTGTCATTCTCTATGCACTCATCTATTCTTTCACGTATAGGATACAAATTTGGTGAATAAATGTCACTTTTGCATGATTGATATCAACTTTATTCTTTCAGAATACAAGCGGAAAAATATGCATGATTTTCCTTGAATACTTTCGTTTTGCTTTGTAGTTTGACTAAAATAAGTGAAATAGTCATCTTGACATTTGTCAAGTTAAAGCAGTTATTAGAAGGCGCAAAAAGCAGAAAAAAGTTGAATAAGCTATTTAGAATTAATATTTATTCTTTTTTGGACACGTTCCTGCTTCTACTAAAAAGAGTGCTATGGTAAAGTTGTTCCATAACATAAGACAAGGACTATATACGTCCTTCTTCTGGCAGTAGATCATAATTAAAGAATGATTGAAGAAAATTTCACAGTAAATAAAAAAGTTGATAACTTTTTCTGAGAGAAAGAAGTTAAGGATAGAATGACTATTATAGATCGTAAATCATAAGTACTGGCGGGATGTGTTTTTGTGCCCTCTATGTCACATAATTAGAACAGTGACATTTATTTTAATATCGCGTTAATTGAAGCTACGGTCAAGAAAAATCTGAAATTTTGATTTTCTCAGTAAGATTTGAATAGATTAAATAATTGAAATAAAATGACGCTTTTTTGTTTATAAACGTGTAAAAAAAAATAAAACTGATATTTTAAATACATACTACGTGAGAAAGAACGACAAAATTAGTGAGCAAAAAAAAAATTGTTAAAATACATAGATATTTTCAGGTACTACTTCAAAAGGATCGGCACGTTCTGGTTAAATAGCTCATCTACGATGAAAACACAAATAAATTCAGTACATCTCATGCAGTCTGATCTCACGATAAAAACCTCGATGCGAATCGATCTCATCTCTTTCCTTCATGTAGCATAACCCATTAGCGCCCATCTTATAACCCATCGTTCTCTTTCCTAGATTATAAATATTACTCTTACATAGTAGGAACCAAAGTATCGTCCCACATCATTTACAAGACTTGATCTCGACAGTCTAGCGCGATTGTTAAGGATGACGGAAATAAGTATAGATTATACTTTTCAAAAACCAACACGATTATAGAAATTTTCATTTTTCAGATTTTTGTTAGCTACGAATAAGACTGCTAGGCCAAATTCAAACGCGTTGAACCTCTTTTTATATATCGAGACGCGTTAGAATTAAGTCATTTCTGAACCATTATCTCATATTACCTCGGATACCTAAGGTGATGTTTTATATTTTTTAAATAAAGCATTTATACTGAAAAGATATTTTGTTACAGAATTATTGTTTATTTTAATTTTAGAACTAGTCTTTTTATTCTTCTATTGCTTTTCAGACCATGAAATACTGTTATGCAAAGATTAGCTGATTATTTCGCTGTTGTTGGTTATGATCATGATGAAGAACGTGGTGGACGTAGTTTTGGAAAGATAATTCAACGTTTTCCAGAAAAAGACTGGCCAAACTGCCCATTTAACTGCAATGTAGTTCATTTTTGTCAACCACAAGGATGGATGTTAACACCAAAATGGGAATTTCCAACATTTTTCATATCAATATTAACTGATCTTGACGGACAAAGACATTATTGTGCGTGTTTGACATTTCATGAAACATTACTACAGACAACAATACCAACATCATCATCATTGTCAACTAAGCCAAGACTTTTATCCGATTTTACTCTTAGTAGTGCAGCCGACGAGGCAGATGATACGGCATTTCTTATACCTCGTACACAAATGTTTGCTCCAAAATGTCTTGTACTTACATCTAGATTCGATTGTTTTGAGATATTTCGGGTTTGTTAAACTTGATAAAAAAGTTTTAACAGTCACTTCATTCTATCGTCTGCTTTTTTAGAATTGTCTTGGTCTTCTCTACACTGTGTATGTTGAATCATTGTCAGATATTAGAATAGAAAATCTTGTTGGAAATATTATTGGATCTGTTAATGTTCCTCCTGCTGGTACATAGTTTGTCTCATCCCTTTCTCTTCGAATCAAGTGGCAAATTCTTGTATTTTTATTTAGGTGGACAAGCATTACGTTTTTCAATTGGTGCTGATGATCGCCAGATACTACAACCGCCGCTAAGTTCAACGGTGCCATGCACTGGATTATCGGTATATAATCTGTTTAAAGAACTAGGTAATTTGATATGACCTGATGTATTATACGTTCAATAAAATAAAAATATACAAACCTTTTTTTTAATGTATATTTTGTTTTTATTTTAGGAATTGATCATGTTGTGACGATATTCTGTGCAGTTTTGTCAGATATTAAAATACTCTTTTTTTCTAAAAGCTATTCAAAATTAACTGATTCTTGCAAAGCAATTGAAACATTATTATATCCACTAAAATATTGGTAAAAACATTCTTTATCTGAAAATACTGTCTATTTCTGTTTGCAATTATAGTTACACATTTATTCCTGTATTACCGTTTGATTTACTTGAAATACTTGATGCTCCTACATCATACATTGTTGGCGTGCATTCAGATCAAAAACTTCAAGCACTCTCAAACGTATGCATACAAAAGCACAACAAATATTTATTTTTCAACTTGTAATTTGTTCATTTTGATCTTTTCTAGTTTGATGGAATGTGGATTGACTTAGACGGATCTAGTGTTCATTTTACTGACGGTGTTAAATTAGCTCCCATGCCAGAGAAAGTATACTGTCGTGTATTAGCCTCCTTGTTTCAAGTGAGTTTTGGGAGAAATTCTGTGACTATGTAGGTTTCTTTCACTTTCTCATTGCATGTCAATTTAGGTTCTTAAGCCCGATATTCATATGGCTGATTTAGCATTTCCCATTCGAACAAACATTAAACAAGATGGACAAATAGCCGATTATCCAAAATATAAAGATGAAATTAACAAAGTATAACTTTCTTCTGTAGTTTAATACAAACAGATCTTCTATTGCTGTGCGCTTTTTTGAGGATAAACAAATTCGTTCTATATTTATTCGTTTATTTGCTGAATTACTCGCTGGCTATCGTTCTTGTCTACTGATAATTCGTATCAACCCAAAGCCAGTTATTTCATTTCATAAGGTACATGAACGATAAGTTTTTGACTAAACTTTTTTATTGTCATCTTGAACTCTTCTGAATTTAGGCTAGTTTTCTTGGTCATCATCGTCTAGTCAATGATGAATTTATGCAACGCGTTCTTGATTCAATGGCGTTTCATAAGTTTATCGAAGAACGAGGTATGTTAATCACGATGAAAACGAATCGATCATTTCAACTTTGTAATACTTCTAGGTCCGCCATATCGAAGTTGTGATATATTTGATGAGGTAGATAATAAGATGGGTTTTGTTGTGTTACTAAATAACAATGATATTTTTCTTTACTAGGTCTATGGATCAATCCATGAACAACTGAAGCACGAAACAGATTCAATGGCTAATGCTCAAGAACACATAAGAGAATTAGCTAATCAATTACTCTTGAATGTATGTAAACATTTGTTTTCTCCTGCTCTACTTGACTATTTTTGCATTTTAAGGAAAATCCATCATTACAGCAAACATACACTCAAAAAGTGCTACAACCATCAACTGCAAGTTATAATCGTACAAATTTATCAGAATTTCCACATTTAGAAAAAGATATTGTTCACAATGTTATTAAAGAAGGACTTAAAAGGCAACAAAATAGCAGGTATAATACATGAATTCAATTTGAATAGAGATATTTTTATTATTTTTGTTTATTTAAGACCGTTTTCAGCAAGAATAAGTGAGCCATGTCTCGTAAAAATAGGTACACCAATTAATGTATTAAATGGTCGAACAGATTTATCACAATCAGCGAGAAGATTAGAAGTGCTGAAACAATGTATTGGATATATATTTAATGATAAAATTGCTGATGCCAAAAAAGTAAGTGAATCATCTCTCCTCGAAATACGTTTTGATATTTACTTAAAAATAATCTTTCAACAATTTGCATCATTCAAATACTTTTGAGAAGAGCAAAAAGATGGAAAGTACTTCTACAATTGTCTAGTGTTGGGGGGGGGGGGGGGGGGGGGGGGGGGGGGGGGGGGGGGGGGGGGGGGGGGGGGGGGGGGGGGGGGGGGGGGGGGGGGGGGGGGGGGGGGGGGGGGGGGGGGGGNATTTGCACCATTAAAATACTTTTTCTCAACCCAAAAACCTGGAAATTAATTATAAAATTGTGTGGTGTTAACCCCCCCCCCCCCCTCCTCCCTGGGTCAGAAATACCAGTTTTCGTCAAAAGTATTGATTTTGAGAAAAGCACATGGTTGGATAGCCCAACGTGTCTACTTTCTAATGGCATAATTTTTATGCCGATAGGATTTTTTTCATAGCTTTTGAGCGAGTTTTCCAGAAGCCCTATAGCAAAAAAAATGGCTTTTTGCACTTGTATTGCATAAGCGCACGCATGTGCCGCACATGGCCGCGCACATATTCATTAGATCCGCCATGGTCGATAACCTATAGCAAAATATCAACAAATTGTTTAACACTCGAACAGTTTTTAAGTAAAACGCATTTAACAGAATCAAAACTTATTCTGCGTTTTTCTTAAGGCTGTTTTTTAGCTTCAGGGCTTTCGTCACGCACACGAATTCTCAGTAACGATACATCGGAGAAAGAAAGTTATTTTTTGATTTGTGGATAACACCTATAGGTAGGGGTTGACAGAGTCCAATTTTTAAATTATGCTTCTATTTTTTATAGAAATGTGGATTTCTAAGAAACTTTCCAAGGATTTTTCGGACTTTAAAGTTCTATTAAGTACCAGAAATCAATAAATGGAAAATTCAAAAATCGGGCTCTGTCAGCTCCTAGGCATAGATGTTTACTGCAAAACAAAGCCAGTCCGAACTCTCTATCATTTACCTGGAATGAGAATTCCTGTGCGTGGTAAACGCCTACTTCTGGCCTTTGTTGTGGTACCCTCTCACAAACAGTTGCAGGTAACGCCAAAAAAAAAATTTCTTTACCACACTTTGACATAGTCAACATTCCCTGAAAGTTTGGTCCAGATCTGACCTACCTGGGCTGAGATATGTTTCTGACCCGTGGAGCCTTAAAAGCAAATACAGATGTTTGTGCCATTTGATATTAAAATATGTATTTGTTTTAGACAAGTGGTGCTGTTTTTTATTCTCTAAAAAGTCATGAAGATGCTCGTGTTGCATTATGTATGGAATTATCTTTGTATAAAAATCAAAATAAACCACGTTTAAATAATCAACAATTTGAAATGATCGTCAATTTACTTAATTGTGCACTTGAAGTAAATTTTATTTCTCCATTAATTATATTGAGTAAATTATTTAATTTCTTTTTATCTAGGCTGGTTCTTCTATTGATGAACATGGTATTGCTTATAAGATGCTTATTTTAGCAACAACATTTCATCGAGTAAGTAATTAAAAAACTTAATAATAAAAACATTTATATGAATTTTGAGTTATATTAGAAATTAAGTGAAGAAGCAACACAATTTGTATATACTGATATTCAACGTCATCCCGTATGGAATAATATGCAATTTTGGGAAATGTCATTTTATTCCGATGTTCAATTACAAATTCGAAATTTATATTTATCAAGTGATGAATACATGTCACACAGTTTGAATAATAGTAACAACAACGATTCGTCTTTCTCTTTATCAACTGATACGGGTACTCATCATATTCCGGTAAGAAAATAATAGATTCTTCAATATATTGAAATTTTTAAACCATAATTTGTTCTAAAAGACAATGGTGAATGAATCATTTGATTATTCATCACATAATGGTACAATATTGACAACTGTAAAAAATGATGAAAATGACATAAAATTTGTTTATAAGAAAACAGCATTGGGAATAGCTGCTGAACAAGTAAGAATCTTTATAATTAATAATTAATGGAATGAAATTATTTATGAGAATAAAATTTATTGTAGATGCGACTTTATACACAGAAAACTGTTGATGAACAACGAACAATCCAAGAATTAGAAGAACAAACATTATATGCATTAGCTATTCACTATATACAATTAATGGTTTATATGAAATTACCACTGGATATATCTAGTTCACATATAAGACATTCAACACTTGGAAATAATCATAATTCTCATACAGGATGTGATCGTGATAGTATAAACAGTGATTTATTTCATAGTAACGATCGTTACAGGTAAATAATATAGTTTTACATATCTTTCAAAATTTTTATCAAAACAAATTTGTACCGATTTTGTGTTTATACTTTAGTGTTAGAAATCCAGATGAAACTTCAACAATCGGTTCACGAGATAGTGGTAATGAATTTGATATGAATGATGATGAAACTACCGATTTAGTATTAAATTTTGTGAAAAAATTTATTGATAAAATATGTGATGAGGGTGGAGTAACACAAGCACATCAAAACAGTCTCCATACAAAACTCTTTCGTAAGTTATTTAGTCTAGTTTTTCAATGTGATATTTATATGTTTTTCTATTGAAAAATTAGAAACTGTTCAAGTTCAAATCGAAGTATTAGAAAAAGTGTACAAAGAAACTCGACGAGTAGCACCAATTCCAAAACCAATATTACCACGTTTCATAATGATTCCAGAAAATACAGAACATGAAGAATATTATGCTTTACGATCATATCTTTTACCAGATGGACGAGATGAATTTTTTAGTCAAAATTCAGTGACATCATTATTGCCCGCTGAAGGAGCTTTAATTATGACAAATTATAGATTAATATTCAGAGGACGACCAGTTAATCCTGCGAGTATGCAATACTTTTCGATTGTCGTCAATAATTTCTGATTTTATTTGTCTTTAGTTTCGAACGAATACCTTATCGTACGATCATTTCCAATTTCAGCATTGATACGCGAGAAAAAATTATCTGGACAAGTAATCACTGTTTTTCTCCTCATCCTTGTATGAAACTAAAAATTTAAGAGAGAAAAATGTAGAGTATTTTTAACCGTCTCTCGTTTTTTATCTTGGTGATATTTGTTCTCATAGTGGTCGAATTTTCTTTTTCTATAGTTTCGTGTTGATAATTCAAATATTTGCTTGCATAATGGTATGCAATTGCGTTCAGCCACATTTCAGGTATGACGCATTCGCGATATAAAAAAGTTATAACTCACTATAAGTGTTTTATTTTTTGGTTTTAGTTAATTAAAGTTTATTTTGATGATGAAGTTTCGTTGGAAGATATAGACAAATTTCGCAATAAATTAGTTGAAAAGAGATATCCACAATCAATATTTCAATCATTTTCGTTCTCCATCTACAGTGAATTTAGTCCAGTTATGAATAAGCAAAAAGACGGAACATTAAAGTAAGGAACATTATTAAAAATTCCTCTGATGTTAGTCAGGGTCATAAAACAAAATGTTGATCTATCCATACGGCAAGTTCAAAAATAGAGTAAATATAGAAAAAAACGATCTAACTAGATAAAATTTATGGACTAGAGACAATTTCACATGAAGAATCTGATAATTCACACACAGGATTTCTAGCAGGTATTCATAGGGTGTCCAGAAAACCTTGCAGGTTTCTACTGATTTTTTAGTCAGGCCTGGTGTAAAATGAAAATTGAGTTTGGTATCCGTCAACGGAGGATCTCCAGAAAATCTCCAGAAAAATTTTGGATTTCTACCGTTTTTGAGTTCCTGACAATGTGAAATGCAAGCTGGACATCTTTTCGGACACTTAGGAATCTGTTATGTCGCTACTCGACATTTTTCGACTGGCTTTGAGACGAGAAAAGCGTGTCGATGAATCAGGTATAACCCCTACCTAATCACATTATATAGTAGATATCTGCCTGCATCCATTAACTACTTGTAAAAAAGATCATCATTAGGGACCGAGTAAGTTGAACGAACGTTACTTGCTATAGGTAAAAGTTTGATAATAGTGATTATCAGAGATAGCTTACTAAATAAATAGCTTGGACGTCAGAGGTAGGCAAGTCCAAATCCGAACCTGAAGCTTTTTTGACCAACTTGGACTTGTAAACCTTTTTATCAAGTCCGTTTGACGTCCAAGAAGTTGAAATCTATCATATTCAACAATGGGATGGGTAGAATTTTATATCTGATTTATTAATCGTTTTTCTGTCAAACATACATCTAATGTATGGATAAAGTTTAATTACCCGCCGTGTATGATTATGATCTACTGCATACTGTAGAAACCACTATGAACTTGGACCTGGATCTGGACTTGGAAATGGTCAGACTAGCCCACCTCTATTTGACGTATATTACCTTCAACGTTATGGCCACAATAGAATGTCTGACATAAAAAAAGTATTAGTCAAAATAGGCAAAAGCCATTAGTCATAGAAACATGAATCTGTATATACGCTTTGAAATAGCAACAGATTCCCAACGTGTGAGTGATATTGAAAATCTTTTATTTTTTTATACGTTAAACGTTTGATTTTTTATTTATCATAAAATCTTCACTCTCTCTTTTAGGAAATATAGTCGTTACGCTCGAAATGTCTTACGTAAAAAAGGTTTAATTCCTGCAAAAGATTTAAGTGTTCATCTTAGCCGTAATAATTTTATTGGTAATAGTGCGAGTATGGGCCACCATATTGGAAATAATAAAACAATATTGACAAGTACAAACAGTACAAAATATAGTCAAGTTGTCATGATACGTACACCCGAGCCACCTAGACGTATTCTTACGTTATCTAATACTCGTTCATCAAAATTTTTGACATCAGCAACGTTAATGCAAACGTCATCAAATATAGCCACAACAACGATCCATGAATGTGATGAAATGATTAAAAACAATAGTGATGATGAAGACGAAGATAGTCTATCGGGTAAGTGGATTATAACCAATTATAACAATGTTTTTTATTTTTTTCTCTCTCTTTCTAAGCGATTGACGAAGCTGACTCAACAAACTTCAGTGATACAAAGAGTCTTGAACGTTATACTGATAGCGCTGTTTACAAAGATTTTGTACGTCAAGGTTTGATAGCAAACGTGACTACATTCGGATTACGATCAACGATGAGAGTACCTGCTGTTTCATCATTTGCATCAATTGTTTCCTTACCGGTACTAACAGCAACAAGTCTATCGTCGAATGAAAATAATAGCAACGGACAGCAACAATCAACATTACCGCTATTGAATACTAATACAACCTCATCTGTGCAAACAAATGGTAACAGTAATAATATTCTAACCAATACAACATCGTTAGCAAATGATGATTGTTTTCGAGTGTCACATATCAATAGAAATTTTACGTTTTGCCAAAGGTAATGTACTTGGTTACTAGTGTTTAAAAAATTCAAATAATACGTCATCCTAGAGTTCGTTTATATAACCTAAACCTTTTACTTTCCTCAAACTATTACTTCAACTCGTTTCTATCGAGAACATTCTAAATGTTAGCTCACACTTTTTTCTTTTCATTTTAGTTATCCACCGGTGCTTGTTTTGCCAAAAGATATTTTAGATGAAAATTTAAAAAAGGTTGCACGTTGTCATAAACTTCAACGGTAAGATTGAAAAAAAAATGCCGAATGAATTATGAACTGTGTTTCTTTATTTAATCTTTGTAGTGTACCTGTTATTGTTTGGCGAAATCCTCGTACGAAAGCATTGTTACTTCGTGGTTCAGGATTTTATAATAAAGGTTTTATCAGTTTACTTGTTAAAGGACCACAAACCACAAACAGTATGCATAATTGTCTATTTGCTTGTCACACTATATTTCTCATTCTTTCCATATAGGTTCATCAAGCGATACAAATGCTAGTATTGAACAAGAACGATATTTTGATGCAATTGTTAAACTAACACCGAACAAAATGCCATTTTCCGATATAGACAATGATGAACTTGAAATAACACCCGATATAACTCCGTTGTCTGTACGAAAAAATCATCACCATCATGCAACAACAACACGATTACAAAATTTTTTGCCAACACGTGTACGATACGATAGACCAAGAACAAGTAATATATATTTCAAAAAAATTCTTTCTGCTTGTCTTTATTATTGCTCATGTTGAAATATACACAAAAAAACCTACCACTTTTCGTTTGTAGAAAATCCCTTGTTGCGTTCCAGTTATATTGAGCCTTCCACTACATCAACTGGTCATGGTAGTGTAAGGTTGCATAAAAATCGTTTTTCAGCAATGTTCCATGGGAATAGCACAAGTACTGTTGCTATTGACGAAGTACAATCGTCTAAGGGTATCTTAGTCAAATTAGCTTGTTGAATGACATTAAAATAGTCAATCTATTAATAATTATCTGTTACATCATATATCCATTATAGAAGTGGGAAATGCATTTTAATGACTGCTTCTTTTAAAAATTGCTTGTATTTATATATATATATCTACAAAATTCTTATCGAAAACAAATTTGATTTCATATATATCTTCACATATTTGTCTTCTTGTTCTAGTCAATATTAGTTCTCACTCAACTACTGATACATTATCAATAAGTGAAACAACTAGTCATCAAGGATCAGTCAATTCACCAAGTGGTGTAAATAACAGTACGTTAGATATGGATTTCAATGAGTCAATTTTACAAGTTCATAAACGTTCACCATTGTACATTATTGGTGATCGTGCACAATATAGAGTAAGTATAATAGTTTTTATACTTTATTACAGATAATATTTTTTTCACTCTTTTAGACCGGTCGTCTAGAACAATTTCATAATTATTGTTTTCTCCCATTGGAATTTCATGATATTAGTCAGATAAAAACAAGTTTTAAAAATTTGTTAAAAGCATGTGTTCCAAGTAATATGATACAATCATCAAATAATAATTCAAACAATAATAATTTGGATACATCGACAACAATAACAACTGTAACATTTTACAAATTAATTGAAGAGTCAAGATGGTTACATCAAGTAAATTTACAACATCTGTACAATTAATCATTGACTATTTTAATCTATTATTTTCTTTAGCTTCAAAAAATTTTAATGATCAGTCAGTATATAGTTCAATTTAGCGAAGATCATGCATCATCCGTGATGATCTGTATTGAAGATGGATGGGATGTATCGTCACAGGTATTATATTTTCAGAAGAAGCTTGCATATGATTGCTCATGTCTACTATACAACTATTTTAGTTGGTATCTATAAGTGAAATACTTCTCGATCCTTACTATCGTACATTTGATGGTTTTCAAACTTTGATTGAACGTGAATGGTTTGCATTTGGACATCGATTTTCTCATCGTTCTAATCAGATAGCAGCAAATAAAACTGGATTTGCTGCTGTTTTCTTACAATTTCTCGATCTTGTTCATCAGGTAAGATTTTTTAATCGCAAATAATACTATACCACAATAGTATTTTCATTAGATTTGGAATCAATACCCCACTGAATTTGAATTTAATGATTATTATTTACGTTTTATTGCCTATCATCATTTGTCAAATCGTTTTAAAAATTTTATGTTCAATTGTGATAGTGAGAGAAAAACAAATCCAAGTTGGTATGTTGATATGAAAGATTTTTCAAAAGAACATGATGATTTTGGTAAGTTTGAACGGATCTTAGTCTTATCATTTATCTCATACAAGATTTCATGTTTAGGTTTATATCGATGTAACACAATAAACATATGGGACTACATTACTAAAGTGAATCGGCAATCATCCCGTTTTTATAATTTTTTATATTCACCATCTTGTTTTACACCTCATAGTCTGACTGATGATAATACTGTACTACGACCATCGTATAAAATGTATTCGTTAGACGTATGGGATTTTTATTTATCTGAAACATTAGAAACGGGTTGTACTTATGATTTGGATTTATCATTAGCTGAACATGATGAACGTTTTAATGATACAGAACTAAAACAGCGAACATTTGTAGCAGCATTTTATGATGATGTCAATGTTTGTCTACCTGACTTTTTTACCGATATTGTCTTGGTAAAGTGATTTAAATCAAACAGATCTAGTTTTTATTTCAATTGATATGTTTCGTTTAATATAGGAAACGTCAAATATACTTCAACATACCAGTGATAACTGGAAACATCATTGGGATAAAATCGAAAAACCAGAAAGAGAACGAGCACAGGTATATTTCTAACAAGAGACAATTAATAATGCTGATGTCAAGGTTATAACCCTTCGTTTTTTTTCTAGTGTTTATCAATGCAAGATGAATCACAAAAGAAGAAATTTTTACAGAAAAACCAACAACAAAACAAATCATTATCGCCATCTACGACATCTCGAACATCATTAATACATGGAAACCATAATTACGAATTAATTCAATTTCAAACACCTCATATATGCGATGGATGTCATAAACTGATTGAGAATAACAATAACAAAAAACTGCACAATGGTATATAATAATAATTATGTTTCGACAAAATTATCAGATATATTTCACTCTTTAGAGGGTATTCGTGGTTTGCAATGTCGTGAATGTTTATCATATTACCATGAACACTGTCGCGCATTAGCAGCATGTCGTCCTTGCCAACAACGAAATGAATCTCAGATAGTTGCTAATTCAAGTCGATTAGAAACGGGCAGTGTTACAGGTTTGTATTTCACATTTCTATTTGTTCAAAAAGTTGTTGCGTAATAAAAGCACTTGTAATTGATATTGCACTATCATTTATAGACATAACCGATGTTTTACTGGAAAAAGCTGGTAAAGATAAAAAAAGACTTTTAGTCATACAATACATGCGCACATTGCTCTACCTTGGGATTTTTATACATAACATACACACTTTTACATATACACACTAATAACTAATATTAACATAGTATAGAAAAATAAATTTGTTATTGCTTTAATGGTCCTAATATTTACAATAGTTTGAACAGCTTCATGACAGGTTCAAAAAAATCTAGAAGATTAGCAATGATACTGGTGTTCGCTCGTGCAGTTCGTTTGTAGGATTAATGCTCGTAAGTTTTATTTATTTTTTTTTATATAAAGGAGTGTATGATCATAGACCATCCTCTTCATTCGGAGTGAGCAATGGAGCTGGTCCACAGCATCGAACTTATGAAGGATATTTGAGGAAACGCGGTCATTTACTTAAACAATGGAAAGAAAGATGGTTTGTCCTTGATTCAGTTCGACATGAAGTAAGAATTATTATAAATTAAAATATTATTATTTAATCATCCTTTTTCATTTTTCTAGTTGCGTTATTACGATAGCAGCGATGATCAAACACCGAAAGGTACGATACTTTTAGCTGATGCTGTTGAAGTTGTACCGTATAATGGGCCATTACCAAATGCATTACGAAGATTTGATAATCGAGCAGCATTTGAAGTAAGAAATTTCTTTTTTTTCTTTCTGTTGAAAATAGCGTAAAACTAGAGAATTCTTCTTCTTTAGCTTCATACAAACCGTCGTGTATACAATTTTATTGCACAAACAACGCAAGAGGCACGAACGTGGACAGAAAAAATTAAAACATGCCTTCTAGACTCTTGAATATTTTTTTATCACCTTGAATCTCTTTTAAGATTGCTCTCTTCTTTTTTTTTTAACTCATGCATTTATTTTTGTTCTTTCTCCCTTGCAGTATTAATTTTATACATCGAAGCTCCATATGAAGTGAACTATGAAACATTTGCAAAGCAAACATTTTTGAATATTTCTTGGAATTTTTCATATTTATCAGTGGAAATTTTCTTTCTATTTTTTTACTCAGAAAATTGTTTTTTTGTTAAATTTATGGACTTAACTGATTGGATCAGTCTCCAAATTTTGAGTCTATATGAAATTTTGATGCATGCTACCTTCCTATTTCTTATTTTTGGTCAAAATTTAGTAGTATTTTGCTTTTGTGCAACACTTTATTTTGTTTTTTGTGTTAAAAACATCAATGAATTTATTTTCCTGTTCATCTTGCATACATGCGAGACTACTTTTTCTCTATCTGATATTCTTGCCGTGAGACCATTTTGCGCTGTGTGTTTCATCTTATTTCTCTTTAAGCACACAACTAGATGTGATAGTTAAATACATACTTGCCCTTTTCTCTTTTATGTTACACTTAGTCGTTAGTGAAACCGTCAATTACTGTCTGGTTTTGTATGCATGTTTTTTCAATACTTAAAAAGTGTGTTGATATATAAAAGTTTAAAACTTAACGCAAAATACGTTATTTTAAGTCTCGTTATCACGACTCTTTATTACAACTAAAGACTTAAATCCACAGTTCGATACATTGTTTTGTACACGCCTTACAGATATGGCCTTAAAACTGTAAAAAATGAAGCACACTTCGAAAATTAAGCTAACATGTCATTGTCACACAATTTAAATTCGAAAAAAACCATGAATAATTACAATAGTATCGTTGTCGTAATCAGCCTGAAAAAACTGAGTCAAAATTTTGTTTTTAGGATTTTTTTCAAAGGGGGAAAAAGTGGACTCCTGTGGACTTCTATGGACTCCTTAAGTCCAAGAGCCCCTGCAAAGCTCAATATCAACCAGTTTCCACATATAACATCTCAATTAACACCTAATTCTTATATAAAGAGCCGATCAACGGTACAACTCATATTTCTCGTGTCGACTGAATCCACACTTTGTTAAATATACATTACTTACAATCGTGAATAAGAACTAGATTTATAAAAAGGATCTCGAGTATAAAAGGAATAATAAAAAAAAGATAGAAATATCACATAGTTAAATGACAATATCCGACTAGGAGTAAATAAATAATAAATAATGAGAAGATAACGACTTGGTTAAAAATTTCATAATAATACAATAAAATAGAAAGGATAAAACTAATGATAAATTAATAATAAAACAAATAATAATTATAGTTTTCTTCGCTTCGATATACTTGATGCCGATGCACAACGTTTAGAATTGTTTTTCATTGGTGCTATTGTTGATGTACTACTTGTGGATGAAGATGATGCAACTAACTGTAGGATTCATTATTATTTGAACTAATGATTATGATTGTATTGGTGATGTCGGTGGTGATGATGTTTGAACATTAGTTCTTTTTTTGTTTACCATTTTTCTTTACAAATTCTTTCATTAATGAATAATTTAATTTTTTTATGTTTACAAAAATTTGACAGTTGAAACTGATTATCCGTTTTCGTTAATGAGAAATTTGAACCACATTTATATGTAATTATTGCTTCTAAACTATTATAATTATCATGTAATTTCAATATAAAATATTCTCCACCGAGTCTTTCCGCGCAGGTTCGCCCACTATTACATTCACTATTAGCCGCGAAAATTTCACTTTGCCCGTCGTGTAGAGTATCAAAAATAACCTAAAGGTCTCGCTTACGCTTTTCTGAAAAAATGTGTGAAAACTGGTTTTCTAGACTTTACATTCGAGTGGTACTCAATTTTCTTGAACAATTCCTGAAGTTTGACCTCGATTTTCTCCTAAACGCTCCGAAAATTTTTCGAGGTTTCAGGACAGGAGCTATTTAGGTTTTGACGGGTTTTCTGGAAAAATGAAAAGTGTTGAGGATAGTTGTATGGGCAAAGTTATAGATCCTACTAAATAGCTCCTGTCCTGAAAAAATCTCGAAAAATTTTCGGAGCGTTTAGGAGAAAATCGAGGTCAAACTTCAGGAATTATTCAAGTAAACTGAGTACCACTCGAATGTAGAGTTAGATCGATACCGAAGTCCTCTACCATTAGAATCAACTCGTCAAGAGCTTCAATTTGATGTATAATTATGCAATGTTTCGTTCATTTTCACCGACTTCGGTTTCACCCTCACCAAAAACTTGAGGTGTCTAGAAAACCAGTTTTCACACATTTTTTCAGAAAAGCGTAAGCGAGACCTTTAGGTTATTTTTGATACTCTACACGACGGGCAAAGTGAAATTTTCGCGGCTAATAGTGAATGTATAAAATGGGCGGACCTGTGTGGAAGCACCCCACCTCTTAATTGAAGATCATCTAAACCAAAGTTTTTTTATTACCTAAACACCATTATTTAATTAAGTTTAATATAAAATCTTTATGTTCATGTATTGTCATTGTTGGTGATGGTAATAGAGGAACTGAATTAATTGAAACTGGTGCTGTGATTAGAAATGACTATGAACTGTATTGACACGCTTTCTCTTTCTCTTACAATAGATGCGTTTAACGAGTGGATTCTATGCATTTCTTGCAAATATGAAATTACATCATCGACTAGAAGCATTTGAAATACATTTATCATCAAAATGGCTGTGGTTTTATTTTCGATGACAACAATTATTATTATTTCTACAAGATTCTACACATTTAGCTACAAAGTGGAGAAATCATTTATTATCTTCAACAACACAACTAATGATGGATCAACAATTAATTTCTATAGAGCATTTGCAAGATATTATTGACAGCGATGCATATTCTAAACTTGATCATGGTTTTGTTCGGACAGATATTAATCCTAAAGACAGACAAAATTATCGTTCTTGTAAGAAACTGGTATCACATGATTTGTTAAATATTGTAGATGGTAATCCCAATACATCAGGAACATTTGTTTATCTTCATTTATTAAAATTGTTAATAATTGCTTATATTGAAAAATCAACAACAGGTACAGAACTTTTACATTCAGCATGGATTGTTATATTCGTTTGCCGATTATGGTGACCATGGCTTAAAAATAAGACGTTTGCTAATAAGTCATCACTACCACCAGCAACAAAAAATAAGAAAAAAATAATAATACTATAGGTAAATATTTTATAAGTAAAACAGCATACTTCTCAGTTGAAATTACTGCACACAATTTACTTTACTTAATATCATTAATTCAATAAAAATGCTATCAAAAGAAGCATTAAGTATATACTTATTTAATTCTCGGTCATATGAATCTATATTTCATAATACGAGATGATTGAGTGGTGCTTACTCTGCAATTATTAATTTTACAGTTAGTAATTTTCTTCGACGAGCTGAAAAATTGTCGATATTAAATCAAATTAAGTGTAGTAGACAATCGAACAATAATGATCATTATTTTTTATTTTCGGTACATAATAAACATAAAGATAATCATTTATTAACATTGCAAATTGCTGATGATGTTGAACAATTGGATATTGAACAAACTATATTAGATTCATATAATACATCAATTAGATTGATTGAAGATTTACATATGTCAACAGTTTTAAAATAACATGATATATTTCAATTAGAACAATTATCTGATTCTGATTCAGAATGTGAGCCTGAATTAGGTGGTGATGATAATAATAACATCCACAGTGACGAAAATAGTGAAAGTCAATCCGATGATAATAAAAATATCATCACAGCAAAAACAAACTTTTTTGATATACATATTAAAGACAAGATTAACACTGAATTAAAAAATGCGTATTTTAAAATAACAATTCTCAGCGCTTGTTGTGGTACAAATAAGAATTAGCATAATCCAAATATTAGACAACATAAAATTTAAAGTTACACAGAGTCTCTCAAAGACGTGCACTCCGTGGACTCTTGCAGTCTGCCTTTTCCCCCTTGATTTTTTTGCATGCAGCCGACAAAACGCAGGTTTTTTTCCTGGAATATCCACGTTCCAATTTTGAGGAAAAATGAAAGGAAATCAGTAGAAATCCAGAGAAATCTGGGAAAGCTGCTGAAAATATGAGAAAATCAGGAAAAATCTTTAAAAAAAAGAAAAAATCAAGAAATCAGCTGTTTCTCTCTTGAAAAAGTGCCCGAAAGTCACTCTGAAAGCTATTTATTATGTGAGTCAATTTTTGACGCTGATTACTAATATGAAATTGTTATATTATTAATGATTGTTTTGTCATCTAAAATCGCGTATTACTGGCTAGACTTTACAATTTTTCAAGTATTTTATACGTTTCATTATAGTCTACATCTTTTTTTCATATATCCGTAACGAGTGTAGAAAACCGAGTCGGTCTACGAATCTAGTTCCTTGAATGAAGTCCTAATTATAAAGCAAAGTTATCATTAATCTGAACTCGATATTTAATTCGAAATATATGATTGGTGCAAGACAGTGCCATTACTACCACTTGTCTTCTTGCTGAAAATTCGATGTCAATGGGCCATGCAATTCGATCTGACGTTGATTTTTTGTGTTTATTCTATTACAGCTTTTATTACTCAAAGTTTGGTATCATCATCATCTCTTTCTCCGGTGACTGGCGGAGGAGGCAGCAGCAGTGGTGAGAGTGAGGGTGAGGGCGATCGAGATTCCAGATGCGGAGTAACTAACGATATGTGATGAGCCAAGCTGGTCCTACGCTGAAATGCAAAGATGACGGAAATCCAATTTATTATTTTTCCAATTTATTTTATTTTGTCTCCGAGATATAGGCACCTCAAGAAATCTTATTTAAAAGGAAAATATATGAAGATCATAAATCGATAAACTCTTTTGAAGAAATGCCTTTCATTTGTAGATGTGAAATCATCATTATGAGCTTACGTGGAGAAACTTCAGAATGATGTATCACGGCCAAATGCAAATGTTGCAACGAAAAGTACTCTAGAAGAGGGGATCAGAGGTCTACTTCGCGAAGACATTTTTTTCAAAATTATTTCAAGTCTTAAATCCGGATAAGTCCGTTAACAGACTGTCAGCCAAAAACGTAAGTCACTGTTAATGATGGATGATTTGATGGTAATGATTTCAATGCAGTTTCAAGTGTCGTTTTATAACTCTCTAATGCTTTATGGTATTCATCCTTTGCTTGTAAAACCGATGCAATATTATTATATATAACTTCTAACGATGGATGATTTGATGGTAATGAATTTGATTAGATTTCAAGTGTCGTTTCATAATTCTCTAATGCTGTATGGTATTGTTATAAAAAGACACTTGAGATTCAATTAAAGTCAGTACCATCAAAATCTGACTTTAACCTGAACAAACAAATTCAAAAGCTATTTTAGTTTTTTAAAGTACGGATTATTTTAGAGAGAAAGTTGAAATTTTTATAGCACTTGCAACAACAATAGCATGCAATAATCCCAAACTAGGAATCGCTAATCGGCACCGAACGGTTTGTTACCGAACATATTCGGTCACCAAACTCTTCGCATCCGAACATGTTCAGTCATCAAACTGTTCGCAACCGAACATGTTCGGTCACCAAACGGTTTGTTACCGAACGGTTCGCTACTAAACATGTACGCTGCCGATCAGCGAGCCCTAACTTGAGATGGTTGCATGCTAGATCTGGACTAAAAGCAAATTGCATGAAATTGAAGCTTTTGAAGGAACTAACTAGTGAGAAAATAGACTAAAGTACAATGTGAGCGAATGTGTCTTCTACCGGATCGTTAGCAAAGGTTTAAAAAAAATAATTTGTCAAAAAAGTGAAAAAAACATCACCATATGGTAGATTTGAACAATCGATTGATGAATCGGAGACATTTTCAGCACAGATAGTTTAGATAAGTAGACTATATGATTGATCTCAGTGTGTAGAGCCCACCAGTCACTTCTCAGTGTGTACTTTACACACGACGGTCACTGAGAATCGACTTGGCGTTCACTTTATGTGTGTCATTTATACACTTTATTTTTACAGTGCATCCATCTGATCCTCCGATCTCCTCGTGCATGTGTTCAGTGAGACGTTTCAGCTGTCCCTCGTTGTCACTTGCTGATGTCAGATTCACCTGCAGTCGATTTTCGATCTGCTTCATCTCGTTGATGCGATATGCCAAACTTGTTTTATTCATTTTTTTTTGAAAATAGAAACTAAAAGTTTTAAGATTTTACATATTCATAAAGGTGGTGCAATCCAACGTTGAATATTCCGACTGTCGGATTTTGTTAGATCTGCGTCAGAATCAATTAGATTCTAGCGAAATCCGGTGCAATCTGGCGAATCTGATCAGATTTTGTCGAAACATATTACCCTAAATCCATTTGGCGAATCTTATTGCATCCGACCAAATGCGATAGACATTAGCCAGATTTAAAACTGATCCGATCTGACAGTTAGACTCCGACGAAACATTGTGCAATCTGGATGGATCCGATCTGATATGTTTAACATGGGCTCTCCTACATGTCAAACAACATTGTCAATTACAGCGATAATGTGATGGATAGGAGGTACAGTTTCTAATACTGTTTATATTTTTCTGCCCTTAAACTAAAAAATTCTCTAGTACATACATACTCAAGATTTCAGATCGATTGAATTTTTTCCGGGATCTAAGGAACGTTCTAGTCGAAAAAAATGCAGAAAATTGTAAAAAGATTGAGCAGAATGTGAGGTTAGAAATGCATTTAGTCCCAGTAAAATGTGCAACACATTGTGGGCATGAATATACTGCAAAACAAGAAACTCATATGAGTTACTGTTGTTGTTTTCTTTTTCGATTAAATCTTTTCAATTTATAGACGAAGTTGATGACTAACAGCTTTAGTAGAGTGGTATGATAGATAGACAGATTTACTCCATCTGACCAAAACATTTGAGACAAGAGCAATTAGTTTGATATGAGTATTATTCTAATGTCAAGCATGTTATTTTACTAGCTTTTGCTTGCAGTAAACGATGCTTCTAAGTGTGTAATTTATATGAAAATGATAATTTAGCAGAACAAAAGTGGAAGAAATACATCCTTTTGTGAAACCTATAACAGTCGAGTTTTTTTTATGGATGAAATGTTAATGCGGAACAAATAGATGTGATGAAAATTCGATTTGTGTGTTATTTTTTTGCTAGATAATTTTTACGTTATAACAATCATTAAATCGTGTGTTCAATTTACTCATTGTACTAAAACAAACAAAGTACAAACAACGACATTTCTCTTTTAAGTGAAACAGATCTTCTCTTACAAGCACGTTTTTAATATTTATATTTCATATGTTTTATAATATTTGTATATATATATAGAAAAATTTGTCCAATGTGTTTTATGTTATCTTTACTAAAAGAAGAATAAGTCTATTATGATGTACTTATTATTTGTCATTTATCACTTTTTTTTGTTGATAAAAAATGGAACAAAAGAATATTTATCTCGACATAATTATTCAATAAATTGATAGAGATATTGGAACATCTCTCGTCCGAACATTTACTTTTCTTTGTATATGCTGTACTCTTGATGGGTACGGTACATATAAACCTTTTTTGTCCACAAACGATATTTGATTTATTCTATTTGTTTGACATATCGTTTCATTAGTAACATTGTTTTTTTTAGTATGCTCGAGCTTTGATTTCTTTTATACGTTATACAAACAAAATATTCGTAGTCATATTAAGGAGAATCTTATAATATGGGGAGAAGTAGATGTTGTAGTTAATAAAAAAAATTTTTAAACAAATAATCAGAAGTTACCAATAACTCTCTTTTTTTGTACGAGAGCAAAACTCCTTGCCATTTTAATGTACTAATAACCTGAATAATAATTACTGGCCATTCTTGAACGTTCTACACTAATTTTGAATGTTTTAATGGAAAAACCAGTTATTTTTGGATAGTTTTCATGCAGTTGATAAATCATTTATTAATCACGATCACATAATTATGTCTCGATATGTTATATTAATCACTTTGCTCATGTCACAATGAGTACACACAGATTATAGAAGAGAAAAATAGTTTTGGCTTTCAACTTTTTTTTCTTTGTAAGACAACGCAATGTTTGAGTTCGTAATTAAGTGATGACACAAATGAAAGAATTTATTGGCACGCCCTACTCAATCGTTGACAAAAATTTGTTATGACGTATTGCAATAAAAGGCAGAATAACGTATGAACAATATCAGAAAAACAATTTATGCCCATAATCGTGAAATATTTATAGAAAAAACATTGTTAAGCTAATTAACCTACATTATGCGAACGTCTGTTGTTGATCTAGTATAAACTTCGGGCTTCGATTTGATAAAGCATTTTACTAATAAATTTAAATAACTGATATTTTCCTGCGTGTTAGTCTAAGAATATCCCAACAGACAAAAGATTTCGTCCGGATGGTGCGACGAGCTCTCAAAAATCTCTCTATTCAGGAGCAATTTTCGAGACCTCACAACCTATCGAAACCTTATTTCGAAGCATCAACATTCTATTTTCCTATGAATCGAGCGCTTGACGAGAATCCCTCGAGTACTCAAAATATTCCTTGGATGAGTGGTTGGGTAAAACTCAGTTTGTACG